TAATGTACATATGTACTATTGGTTACATTTGGTGTTTCCCTTATGACTGTGCATTTATGCTTTCCGAATAAATGTGTATATTATAGTATATTTTGAAAATTAATTTAATACATGAATAGCGGGCTAAAAGGCATACAAACATAGAGTATAACACAGCGATAAAGGTAAGAAAATCCCAGAAAATCATAAAAGGAAGTTTCCCTGCTATTTTATTTGCATTAGCACTTCCTTTCCCAACCCAAGAAATGTATTGTAGTTTATGGAGCTATTGCACGCGCACTATTATATACTTATATGTATGCAAGTGTGTATCTACTTGTGAGCGTTTCTTGCCCTAAAAGTTGAATGACTAACATATTTTACTAACAATGGCAAGGAAATGATGTTGGTAATTATTTAATATTATTTAAGTAAAATTGCCGTTCAGTGGTACATTGTCGGGCATATAAATTTAGGCATCTAATAAACATTAAAAATAGTGAGCTTAACCCTTCTGCAGTGTTTGGAATTTACCCCTTCCATTATGTTTTGGGTCATTTTGAGCCAACAATAGAAATTAGACAATTAAAAAAAAATTGAATTCAGTTAATATTTTATTTATCATATGCAGATACCTTACCGGCAAGTGCTGTATGTTTACCGGTTCCAAATTGCCCTTAAATACCAAATAATAATTGGATCAAAATGACCCAGAAATACAAAATAAAATAAAAAACTCTATTATTTTTAGCAAAACCATAGCGGATTATGCTTTTAACGAATAGAAAATGCCTCAGCTTATTTAAAATTACCTAGCTATGTAAATAAAGAATTTTTTCATGAAAATTGGGTATTTTTAACCCAATCATTGCAGAAGGATTAACCTTCATGCGCTCGGTAGTTTACATTTGTAGAGCATTGCTTTTCAAGCTTTCAACGCTATAATTGGCTATAAATTTTCTAAATAAGCTAAAACTGGAAAGGTCGACTCCGCGTCGTTCTTAAAGTGTTGCAAGAATATCCGAAATGCTTCTAAGGTGCACAACTGTGGGGTAGATAGTACCATGTCATGGGAGCGGGATCATGGGGATTGATTATTCCTTATCGACTTTGATGGAAGTTATCAATTCTCTGAATTTAAAAAAGTTACTAGACCAAAGAGTAAATTATCAAGTTCCCGCATTAAAAAAAAATATATATAAAATTACAAATTTTGGTAAACAAATACCAAACGGCAACGCTGGTCAAATTTTTTTTAAGTAAGTTGATATCAGCGGTGGTATCATATGGAAGATTTTCAGTTGAAAACCTGCCCTCAATTATGCTTGCGGTAAATCTTTCTCGATGAAGCAAAGTTGTTTCCACCAAAATTTTTCTGTTTATTAATAAAGTGTTTTAAAGAAATATGGACGTAGCCGTGTTTTTCTCATACTCATTCATTCAAATGTTTTGTCAAGATTTCAATCTCGAGCACGTGAAGGTTAATAGGTAATAATTGAGTGAAAAGTTTCATATTTCTATTAAAAATTTCTGTTTAATCACTGTAAATAAAAACTGTATTCCAATTTTTTTTTTTAGTTGTTCAACAACTTACCGATTTCGAGGTATTTTTGATGCAGTGGATCGTAGTTTTCCCAGGTGGTGCTGCGAAAGCGATTACGCTCTTTGGAGGCGGGCAACACTGAATCCTGTCGATGATGCTCATTGGGATTACTGAAAGAAACCAATATACCCGTAATTTATAAATCATAATCCATAGTTTAGGATTCATATTTGATAATTAAAAATTCGTTATTAATAGTGCAGAACTCATAGTTCTCAATTTATAATTTTCAAAATACAAAATTCAAATAATTCAAAATTCATAAGTCGTTTTGCTGCGATTCATATTCAGTTCTTTCTCTTGACGGCGCAATTGGGCTATATTTATGTATGTACATATGTAATTTTTATTTGCCCTGTCCTTAAGCAAACATATGTACGATGTAAGTACGAGTTAGGCTGGTAAAATGACATTTGCAGCTAAAAAGCAGAAAAATGGTTTGGAAGTGAAAAGTGACAGACATTAACAGTCCACTTCAACAGTCTATATGTAAATGCATAGACAACTATAAAACCGAGAATGGCGTCAGATAATATCCGAGTTTACGTAGATACGTACATAAGTACAAATACATATACAGTGACTTAAACAAATGACCACGTGTTATTCTTTTTAAATATTCGTAATTTTTTTGGGGCTAATTTTTCGGGTGGTTTTTCTATGAAAATTCCGTCCAAAGCTTTATACAAAAAAAAATTTAGGAAAATTCCAAAAATTTTCATCAAAAACTCAACTTTTTAGTATGAATTTATTTTGGTGACGGATTTTTGCATTTTTTTCCACTTGTTTCTACCTCTCAAGAAAAACGAAAAACTCCTACAAAATAACGCAGAAGGAATGGAAAAGAAATTTTCTTTTATCAAAATGCTCGTATATTAATTTCGCCAAAAAAATTTATAGAAATAATTAAAATATTTCTTGTGATTTTTCGTGAGGGCTGGATGCCAAGCTTAAGCATGAATTTCTTATGAATGGAAATGTGGAAAACTGTTAGGAACATGACTTAAAAAATCAAGGCCGGTTTTTGTAAATTGAACTTGTTAAATAAAAAATCGCAAAAGCTAGCTCAAAAAAAAAAAAAAATCAAAAATCAACGCGGCTTTTTAGCCGGTTGAAACATGCACTTCATTGGACTAAAATTGTATTGTATCTAAAACTGCATACCCAAAAATGTTCTAAAGATTCAGATTAAAAAGGGATTAGGAAGTTGAAATTTTGATGAAAATTCGTTGAATTTTCCTAAATTTTGTACATAGTTTGAAAATGTGATTTATATGGTTTTGGTTAAATCTTAGACCATATTTTTTTAGAAAAATAACAAACAAAAAAATTTAGCTTGAAACTAAAGGAATATGTAAAAAAATCAAAGCGTGGTCATTTGTTTGAATCACTATATACTCTCTGTGTAGTCCATGAAGAAAATAAAGTAGAATATGAAAACAGAAATTAGTAAAATAAGCATAAGTGCACAATGTGTGTGTGTATGTAAGTAGTATGTATGTATGTAGTCTCTACATGCCACAGATTGTTGGAATGGCACTGCGGAAACAGCACAGGAAACGGAGCGAATGGGAGTGTACTGAAGAGCAGAGAATTTAGTAGCCGTAATGCACTAACAACACTTCATTTTAAATTGCTCTCCACTTGATTATGGCGTGCAAAAACATAAAATGCAAAAAAAAAAATATAAATGAAAAATTGAATAAAGCAAGAAAGAGAAGAAAAAAAGTAAAATGCTATATCCCATGCAATTCCATGCAATCATGCGTGAGTGTGTGTATGTCTGCGTGTGTGTGTGTGTGTGTCGAAGTTAGCCGCGCGAGTTGCTGAGCTTTCCCTGCAGAAACAAATTATCAATTGATAAAAAATAACCCAATTGTAGTTAGCTTTTTTGCGGCATTTCTAACGCGTTTCTATTTAAATATCCTGCACACCTGTCATATTATTATTTTGAAGTTATGTCTGACGGAGTTCGAATTTGGGACCACCTACAGCAGAATATGGAAACAAAATAACAAAATAAAAAATAAAAAAAAAATATTTTGTTTCCTATTCATACTGTATGTCCAAAAGTAGTTAGTTACAAGTTAGTTACATCNTGTGATTTATATGGTTTTGGTTAAATCTTAGACCATATTTTTTTAGAAAAATAACAAACAAAAAAATTTAGCTTGAAACTAAAGGAATATGTAAAAAAATCAAAGCGTGGTCATTTGTTTGAATCACTATATACTCTCTGTGTAGTCCATGAAGAAAATAAAGTAGAATATGAAAACAGAAATTAGTAAAATAAGCATAAGTGCACAATGTGTGTGTGTATGTAAGTAGTATGTATGTATGTAGTCTCTACATGCCACAGATTGTTGGAATGGCACTGCGGAAACAGCACAGGAAACGGAGCGAATGGGAGTGTACTGAAGAGCAGAGAATTTAGTAGCCGTAATGCACTAACAACACTTCATTTTAAATTGCTCTCCACTTGATTATGGCGTGCAAAAACATAAAATGCAAAAAAAAAAATATAAATGAAAAATTGAATAAAGCAAGAAAGAGAAGAAAAAAAGTAAAATGCTATATCCCATGCAATTCCATGCAATCATGCGTGAGTGTGTGTATGTCTGCGTGTGTGTGTGTGTGTGTCGAAGTTAGCCGCGCGAGTTGCTGAGCTTTCCCTGCAGAAACAAATTATCAATTGATAAAAAATAACCCAATTGTAGTTAGCTTTTTTGCGGCATTTCTAACGCGTTTCTATTTAAATATCCTGCACACCTGTCATATTATTATTTTGAAGTTATGTCTGACGGAGTTCGAATTTGGGACCACCTACAGCAGAATATGGAAACAAAATAACAAAATAAAAAATAAAAAAAAAATATTTTGTTTCCTATTCATACTGTATGTCCAAAAGTAGTTAGTTACAAGTTAGTTACATCAAATGCAGACTTTTTGCGGCCATCGCCATAGAAACATAGTTAGCTTGCGTCAAAGAAAATATACAGAAAATAAGTAACTTTCAGTTCCCTTCTAATCAACTTAAAGTTAGCTTATAGTTGGACACATTTCCTGCAGGGTTTAGCAGTATCTGTTCGGGCTGCGTTTGTACATAATAAAGTGCATACATTGTGCTTATGGTGTAAATTTATTAATAAAAAAAAAAATATTTTTTAAACTAGTATTTATGCATGTTTGCTTTCATTTTCATTTCACTTGCTGCCTTTGAGTTTCATTTTACATGTCACTTGCTTTTGGGTGGTATGACGTGAGACTCTTGCAACAATAAAGTTAATTGAGTAAAAAATGCTAAAAATGAGAATAAAAATATTAAAAGCGTAAATGACTAAGTTACAGTTGACTAAAACAAAAGCAACATCGGCAAAGCTGACGTTGACACGTACGTAAGTAAATATGTATGTATGTGCGCGCATGTACATATTCATGTATATACATATGCATATTTTGCACAAATAAAATTCATGACTGCAGCAGTGCCTTGGGTGTGAATAGTATTGTACAATACAACTCCTACTATTTTCGTTCGTTCAAACAAATGTTGCCTAATTGGCGGAAAAAAGTTTGCCGAAATGTTTTACATTTTACAACAAAAAACTAATGTTTTACAAAATCCACGCTTAAAAAAGTAAAAGAATTGCAAGCGAACTAAAAACTAAATATTTAATAAAAACCGCTTTACTTGCCCACCACATGGCAACCACTTACCCCGTTCTTGCAAAATTCGTCCAAAATATGATCACCGCTTCGGAGAGTGCAATTTCCGATTTTGTGTAGTTCTGTGGAAAATGACTGAAACCATCTACCAAGGGCGCACCGAATATGTAGGGCAAATCCTCGCCATGCACTGTGCCCATACGCTGTGGATAATCGCCATCTTTGGTCTGATAGTCGAAGACATAGAAATAGCAGCGACCCGATTGCGCACCTGACGCAGTCGAGGCCGAGGCTGTGCCACCACCCGCGCCACTGCTAGTCGATATGGGTGGCGGTGAATTGGCTGCCAACTGATCGCCAGTGCGTATAATTGGCGCCACGAATTGGGCGTCCGATAGTGCTGCGACGGCAGTGTCACGTGTATTGATCGGATGTTGCGAAGTGCGATCCCAGTCGGTGTACTCGTTGACAATCTGTGGAGGGAAGTAAATAAAAAGATGGGAAATGAAGTGGGCTGTGATTTATACAAGTACATACATAAATATGTTGTTGCAATTAGTGCAGTTTGTTATTGTATGTAGGTGAGTAAAAAATTTGGGACTCAATAGAGATTTGGATAATTCTTGCTGCAGTAAGTCTTTTATTTCTCAAATCGGTAGTTCAAGGTTCTTTTCCCCTATAAGCTTCAAAGTGAGGCTTTACAGCTTAGGATTCTATATCAATCTCGATATTTGCTTCAGACCAGCAGGCGTACTACCTTGGTTTCCATCGATATGATTTCAAATATTAGAGTGACATCTTTCAAATTATAGTTATTTATTTTATTATCGATATCGTTCGAGGTAATAGGTAACCTAGGGCAATTAACGACATAGTATGCATTCAGTTTCAAAATCTAACTAATCTAAAAATGCATACTTTTAACTATTTTCATATGAGAAGTATTCCATTCCCGTTGATATGAGTGCTTGTGATCAGCAAGATGTTAGTAAAGATGATAGGAAGGGCGCCTAGATTAACCGCTCATTCTGATAAAGTATCATAAGCCTCGTTGTAGTTGTTAACTATCGATTAGGGTTATACCCGAGTAACATTTAAAAAAAATCACAACAGAAGAAGAATTATGGGTCCATGGTAAATAAATCAATAGAATATGGTCTTTTTTGTGAAGAAGAAATACGATTCTATAATAGTTTCCATTCATGACAGGAAATACTCCGCTAACTCCTAAGCCTTTTACAAGAATATGTAGAAGTCATTGTTGACCGCAAACCTCTGGACCTCTGGACTTCGTCCGTCAGTTCGTAGAGATGCCTCCTGACGTGCCTGGACGAGGGCTCTTCTGCAAGCAGTTGCCCATTTGGGTGACCACGTCTATGGCTCCCAACAAGAAACTGCTTGCAGAGCATTGTGCTGTGCTACTTAATCGGGAGCAATTTCGCCTCGTCGTACAGGTGGTGTTCTGGCGATATCAGAAGGCATCCAGTCGCTGTCCGTAGTGAGGTGTTTTGCGTGGTCTGCAACTTCATCCACTGCGTCCTATTAGTACCCGGCGACCACACTGGTGCTGTGTAATTTAAAACCGGCCGGCCTATTGCCTTGTATATTGCCAGCAATGTTTCTTTGTCTTTACCCCAAGTACGGCCAGCTAGCGACTTGAGCACCCTGTTGCGGCTCTGTCAAGTGCAAGAATTTATGGTGTCTTGGTTTGGTGGCATGCGGTAAAGGATGAGAAAGGGCGGGCGGAACTACTATGAATTATTGGTACTGTGTGACCCACTCTCACACCTTTTTTCATTTATTTCTTTCAAACAGTCAATAATCTACAAAAGTTCTTGCTGATAAAAGCGGTAACTTAGGTAACTAGATCATAAATTAAAAAATTTTAAAACAAGCTTTATTATAGTTAGTAAAAAAATAAATCCGAACCCTCCTCAACCTAGCGACTAAATTTTTTGTGGACCCAAAAACCAAAACCTAAAAGGCATGATTGAGCATTTGACTTAACACTCTTTGGAAAATTGACTAAAAGCTGATAATACGATAACGTAACTGTGATAATACAACTAGTGGACTAGTGGAGGTCGAAAGCACCTCCTCGGAAGAGGAAACCTTCGAGGATACTTTTGTTAAGAAAAAAGCTTTAGAGACGGCTTATAACTCTAGATCCATCAATTTGAGGGACATCAACCTGTAGCATACCATAAAATGTAGGAAAATCTCAACTTCTAACGCTTCAAGAGAAGCCTCGTATGATAGAAAAAATATCAAAACGGTTTGAATTCTTTAATTGTTGATTTTTATTTTTATTAAATTAAAAATAGTCGCCTTGAACATTCTGTTCGATCAAATGGAGCTTATTATAGAAATAGGACTTTAAAAAGATTTCGTTGAGCTGCGAATTAAACAGATGATAAATACTCGTTGTAGAATAGGGGAAAATGCACTTTTACCACCTGCACACGCATGCACATCCTCACACGCACACACATACCCGTACATCCATAGAAACTTACGTTCCCATTAATGCGCAAATAAAGAGGCGCACGGAAGTAAACACAAGTGCTTATGAGTCATACATATGTACATACTATATACTTACATAAATGAAAATGAACGCATACATATCTTGCACATGCATTTTTGGAGGACGCAAATAGTATGACGCGCGTGCGTGTCCTTCCATAGTTTGGCTAAAGACCTGCCACAAAGCCACTATGGTATTTGGGTTAAGTGTTGCGCTCAACTGACTGACAGTCCGTATTTGTATTTACATACATACATATGTATGCACATATGCATATGATTTAAAGAGAATGTGGGTGTGTGTGTGTCTGCGTGGGACTGTGCGCATTTGCATTTCTTTGCACATCCGAACACAGCAAGGACACTGCTAACTTTCTAAATTTATGCCACAGCAGGCAGAGATTTTGTATGCAGTTGGATTTTGCATATTCTTTTTTGTGCGTATTTATATGTACATGTATGTACATACATACATGCACACGCATTTTCATTGCAATTAAGTGCGTTAATAAAATATTTCGACTATTCCTTGCCTGAAATTGCATAAAACGAGCGATATTGTTAATTTTTATGTTTACGCATATTTGTGGCCATATTTACGTGAGATGAGTGACTATGAGCACGTACGCATGGATGGTAGCATAAATAGCTTTCACGCAAGAAATTTACGACAAATGGCAGGCACAAATATACACACATAGCTACGACACTAATATGAAACAACTATGCATGATTTTGATGTGCGCATGCGTTGACGTTTTACACTCACTTTATGCCACATTCTGCTGTTTAGCTTCATTTATGCACACAAAATAACAATTTTTTTAAATTTATTTTCACGCACGTAAAATAATGTGTCGAGATTATGTTTATTTAAATAATGAAATATTCATAGATATGGGTACCGCTACCTTGCGAGTATACATATGTATGTAGAATATTTCTGCTTTTGGAATTTCTAATAATTTCATTTGGAATTTGCATTGAATTTTTTGCAAAGCCTTCCTAAAGAATTTCTATACAACAGTTTTTCAAACACATTCATATTTACATATGTATGCATATAATACGGGGCATTTGAAGAACTCCGCTTTTCTGTTTAATATTCCGACTTTGTTGCATCTTTCGTTAAATACATAAAGTAGCCTGGATATAAGATTCTCGTATGTTACTTTCGGTAGGTTTTGGGAGATCGCGATTGAAGTTTGCAAAAACGCGGCTATAGTTTTTTTTCCAAGGTCTCGGAGAATGTAATCGGTTTTCGGAATTCTTAAATATAACTGTTTTTGAGTTTATGAAGGACATTTGTCAACAATATGGCAGCAACTTTGTTCGACGAATAACAAAATGTGATAAAAATTTGTACTAAATTGACGATATCGAAAATGCATAACGCCATTTGAACTCCGATTATTTTAGTATGGAGGTATCCAAAAACTGATGTAACTACATCTATAACACAAAATCGTCAAAATGGCGCTTACGATAATCTTTTGTTACCTTTTATAATTGCCATAGTGGTCTAATTAGAGCGTAGTTGTAGAAATCTAGGGGTGATATAATTATGCGAAAATTGTAGTAGAATGTCACTCTAAGGACCTTTTACTCAATGTTTGATTAACACTAATCTCTGGTTAAACATCGTTATCGTCGTCAACGACTCCATGCATATAACAGGGAGTCGGTACGTCAATAACGATGTTTAACCGAAGATTAGTGTTAACCAGACATTGAGTAAAAGGTCCTTGGAGTGGTCCCTCTACTTCAGGCGGATAAGCAGTTAAGACATTTGAGACCTTGCTTGCTTGCTTGCGTCAAACTGGTTACAGTAGAAAATTGAAAGTTGGCAAATGCTTCCATACAAAGTAGTTCTTTATATGGAAAAGAGTGCGTAACACCGCCAGCAAAAAATTATCATAAATCAACGCGAAATTTTAGCAACTTTAAACCTTCACTTTATTATACTAGAATAAAAAGATATAAAACTGCATACCAAAAATTATTCTAGAAATTAAAATTAAAATGCTTGGAGTTGGGATAAAAAGTTTGTGAAATTTTTATAATTTTTTTACAAAGTCTAAAATTTAGATGTATATACATATATAGTATTTGTTAGATAAAGAGCTATACTTTTATATAAAAACCTTAAAAAAGGCAAAAGAAAAGTAGTCAAAACTGGTAAAAAAATGTTGATGTGCTATCTTTTGTTGCGGGGTGTATACGCGTATGGTGAAAAAATGACCTGCCCTAATGTGCGTACTAACAAATTGTGACAATTTCCATTTTTTATGAGAAGAGGATGTCATGCCATGTCTTACCCGTTCAGACAACACTAGTTTTGAGATATTTAATGAATGATGCCGTTTTGCATAATAGCACCTCAAACCAATAATGCCCTATCCTAGGAGAGAACAGGCTTCGAGAGTAACGCGCAATAATATTGTAAATCAGCTTCTACCAGCTAAATAAGCATTTTACTAAGATATCATTGGCATAAATAATTTGTGAATAATTCATTAATACTTGTTTATATTTAAATTTTATCAATATTTCTGTTAATAAATTTGATTAAGAAATACTGAGCTGAAATATATTCAAAAGTCTTCCGTAATAAACAAAATTGCGTAGAAAATTTCACAACAATTTATCAGTGGAACTTTTCGCATTCCACGCTCACTTTTTCTTTGTTTATCTTCCTTCAAACTGCCAATCGCTTTCAATCAACGCTGCTATTAATCACATAGTTTGTACACATTTTTCATTAAAACCTGATACAGCTGTTGTACTACAACAAACCAACACAATAATAACAACTTGCAATATTTGTGTCCATCATTCATTCGAGTGTGTTTTTGCGTTATAATGCCAACCAAGCCAACACACTAATGTGGATGAGGCGCCACATCCCCGCTTAACCAGTTAGCGAAACCGCGTTGAACCAGCCAAC